ATATTAAATAAATAAAATGTTACTGAAGTAGAACTGAGACCTTTGAACTATTGGACTTCCTGTCAGTGAACAATGATGCCATGATGAACAAAAGCAAACACACCAAAAAATATGTTCATACACTGAGGAAAAAACAGAGTTTAACTTTTAAGGTATTAATAAAGACACAAACCTTGCGATCCAGTACAGCGATGCCCGGGCCTGTCCGCCCCTCCATGATGGGAGCCACCGTGGACCAGGTGTCGCTCTCCGGACAGTACGACTCCACAATCAGCACATCTATACACTGGTTACCTGCACAGACAACCGTCAACAGTTCTTTTAATACAATACTCAGAATTGAAAAAAATTGAAATTGATCTTAAACCAGTCTAGCTCAAATGAACTCAATGAATAGTTAAGCTACTCTTCCATGGATCAATGCAACACTTATATATACATTTTGTACCATATATCAGGTTCATTGTAGCAGGGAATTTCCCCTAATTATATTCAACAAGAGCCAGGAGCAGTGGACCGCAGCTTAACATCTTGTCCTAAGGACTTTCAGTAGCATACATGTGGGGTAAGTGACATTGCCAGGATTTGAACACACAACTTCTTGGTCCAGAGGCAAGATCACTAACCACTTGAGTATGCATGCTATGGCAACACTCTATTAAAATTTAATCATCATCAAAATGCCAAACTTTTTATATATGATCAAATGGACACTCAGTTGGTGTAAGGCGTCCCACGGTGCTAATTTACTGATTTTTCAGGTCCTTTCGGAAAAATGCCATAACTCAGCCGTAGCTGGTCAGAAATGGTTCAAACTTGGGGGAAAGGCAAAATACAACTTGTTGAGTGTTGAAATATTACTTTCATGTTGTTATATTTCTTATATTTGCATATATCTATGTCTGATATGATGCATAATTCTTAGACAGAAAACGTAAATCGAGGAACTATAGCCAACATCATAGACAGACGCTTTTTGGAGGGTACATTCTTACATCTGTCACCATTTAGAAACTGTTTTGATATGTTTGAAATATTATTCCTGCTTTTTATGAAATATGTTTTCGTCCATTTCAATGCCATAATTTTAGGGTAACCCTAACTTCCTTGCCCTATATCAAAAGACAGTTCATGATAAGCAAAAGTATCTAAACAGGTTTGGGTAGTTCAGGACATTACCAATCATTCTACTTTGAATCTGACGTTCCCTGGGCATGGCTATATTTCCTCAAAACGCTTCAAAGTTAAGATTATGAATCTTTACCTTCTTAGCAAATTCTAGCTGTCAATCACGTCGGTAGGCCAATTAGTCGTGTATTTAGCACCTCTATGAGACGTAATTATCTGTAATTTGCCCTTGCCACAAGACAAAAGGTTGGCTGTCTTTTGTTATGCGCAGTAATTGTTCACTACAGACAGGCCCAGCTTTCCTTTTTTCAATATAGGTCTTGAAAGAAAATGTTTTACAGACAGTAACAAATTGACAAAAATTGAATGAAAGGTTTATACGGCTCATAGCCTGGGTGCCAGACTGTTACCAGGGCTGCTATGTAGGCTACCTTCTCAATCTAGGGGACAGCATTTCCCTTCCGAAAGTTTTTTCACAGGGTCTAAGTTCTAACCAAGGAGGTTAAATATAGCCTCCTTGGCTAACCAAACTCCATGGTCTCTTGGTATATCATATCTCCTTTGTCTAACCGAGTCTAATAACAGGGCCTAGCATGTGTATTGAGGCTGGGAACTGTCTGGCATATAGTCTGAACGGGTCAATACTGGGTGAATTTGCAGAGATTAGCTTTACCGGAAATAGTTGGGGCTAACCTTTTCCAAGATGTTCCAAACAATTTCTAATAACGTACTGTCCACACCCTAATGTTTTAGATACTAGGCTGGCACAGCCGAACACTGTAGCCGACCTTGCTCCCGACTCTTAACCAAGGAGGTTATATTACCATCATGATGGCTGGGGGAGCTCGGGAGGCCATGTTTAGCTATCTGTTAGTGTTACAGAGGAATCACTGTGGCCCATTCTCCTTGTCAGTTATCCCCATTTTTTATGGGTTCTGATATCCGTGGCCCTTCCCTAAAGGGGTCCTAAATTTGCAGGTCATGCTTTAGGTAACTTACATATATCTTCAGGTTGTTTGGGGGCCAGATTCGGATCAGAATAAATGTGTTGTAACTTACAGCAAGAGCTTCAAATAGAACTTGCTGATCATTGTCTACAGTTGTTTTGTCTGTGTTACTAGTATTTATGCAAGCCTGACATCCGTTCTGCTGTTGATCAGCCAATTGAAAACAAAAGAGAGGGGTACCAATTAACTCCACAGGATAGAATTAGCGCGCAAATCAAATGCAAAACGGCAGGCGGGGCAGAGGCACTGGGTTATCACTCAAACTGTTGCATATTAACAAGCTTCAAGACTGCATTTGGCTCATTACAATATTCAAGTAGGTCATTATAATATTAAATGAGATCTTTGCTGTGGTCAACCGTGGGACGCCTTACACCAACTGAGCATGTCTTTGTTTTCAATGATTAATTTGAGTTCAAATGATGATGTTTGGTTAATGACAATGTTGGTCTAATTGAAAGCTATATGCAGACTGCAGCAGTGATACTAACCCTTTGTATGGTTCCCACCAATGACATATATTTTGTCCCTGACGGTAGCCATGGTATGGTGGGCTCGCTTGGTCCCCATCACAGCCTTGTTGTCCCACTGGTTCTCTGTGGGGTCGTAGGTGCTCATGGTGTTCACAAAGTCCCCATAAACAGCCCCTCCTGTAAATGATAGCAGTATTTGATATATAGTAAGCAGATAAGAAAACAGCTAGTTGTTCATACTGTAAAATCCACTGATGATGAATTCTGCTTTAGTGAAAAAACCCTATCTCATATGTGCAACAGCTTGCAATAGCCAATCTGAAGAAAAGCAACTTTAGCCAATAGACACTTAATGCCCTCTAGCAATATTTGGCTGCATTGCAGTGAGCACCCCTCAACTCCTTGCCATCATCAAATTGAATTTTTCATCTGTGCCATACCTTCAAATCTGCCACAAGAAGTGCAGCAAAACCATTCACATTCCCATTCCCATTCATAGCAAACAAAATGAAGGGTGAGTGTATACCTGATATGAAGATTTTTCCATCCCATACAGTGCCGGCGTGGGCAGCACAGGGTTTCTCCATGTTGGTGACATGTTTCCACTCATTTTTGTCAGGGCTGTAGCACTCCACACTGGCAACATAGCCATCAGCATTTCTACCTCCTGTAGACATAAAACGGGGCAATCAATTTTAGAACTGTAGCACCTGTTCTTTCCGTATAATGTAAGCAAGTTAACTTATATTATATAATATAACAACTATACCATTTCATGAAATTAACAGTTGGATCAATGAAAATGTATTGAATGACAGATGACTATTGTACATGAGTTAGAATGTAGCCCTTCATGGTTTTCTATCTGTTTCAGGGTCAAAATGTTGGTAGTTCAAATCCCAGTTTAATCTAAGAGTTTTTTAGGTTGAAATAGGTTGCTGATCATGAACTTTCATAAAATGATAAAGAGACTTATGATCCAGGAATGCAGGAGGACTTCTGGCTTGGTAACTTGTTTAGAAGTTGCCTGTGTGGCCATGGAACAAATTGGGGCTATGTATTTATGGACAGGTAGTGCACTTACATGACTAAGACAATGATCTAAGACCCCTGTACAACTTTGTCGTCTGTACGTAACATTCAAGAGCCAAAATCAATGGCAGTTTGGTATGGAAGCACTGTAAAGCAGCATCCCACAGTCATAAAACAAGCCATAAACTGCAAGGGAGGAGTCTACCTTTTCATTACCCTTTTATTGTTACATGGAGCAAATGTCACCTATAACATTAAACGTCCTAAGAAACAATTATGTTGGAATAGAATGTATGATAATGCTTGTAATGGGGTCACAGTAAAGTTCATTGCTACATACATGCATACTAAATCAGGGGACAAGACAAGGCTTTTTCTTCCTGCTTTGATACATTTCCTCTAGTCTTTTTTTTACACTTGCAGATCATACTGAACTCAAAGTCAGAAGATTTTTTTGCTCAGTGAATCGACACTAACAACAAGGAGAAGTCGTAGACATCGTCCCTCCATGAAATATCTTGTTATTTTGTAATCTTTTGGTGTATTTTAATAGAGATATTATGAGTCAAACTTTGTTTTTATCAGCAGAATGATAGATGTCTATAGATGTCTATCATTTAAGAATTTTGTTGTGGCACTTCGTATTGGAAGGAGTTGCCCAAGCTGTCATGTGCAATCGTTTAATGTCTTGTTACCATGGTTTGTTTGAGGTCAATGACCTCTCAAGCAAAACATATTAACAAACCACAGATGACCCAGTTCCCTGCTGAATGACCGATTAAAGATAAGATATATTTCCTGCAGACATGGTCTCAGAGGTAAAAATAGATTGGCCTGACCTGCCAGCTGGAGGTATAAACAAAAACACTCTGTGCCAATTTGGGGTCAAACAGACCATCCTATTATGAAATAGGGGTGAAAATGTGAAAATCCTTTTAAATAAGCAATGCAAATCTACGACAACCTGCTAATGCACGCTAAAACGCAAAGACAATCAGCATCTACCCACATACCAAAAATGATCGCCAACCATCCACCGGGTTCTGAGATCATTCAACGCAAACAATCTGACATTGAGATAGCAATTCCGGTTCAAAGCAAACAGGTAGGGGGCCCAAATTTACATCACTAAACCATTGTAACCACAACTACATGCTACCTAAGCATCGCACACACAGACCATAACGTGCCAACAATAGAATAAAAAAATTAAACTGCAGTACCAAGGTCAATCACCAGGTGCTCAAAGTCAACCTACACAATCTCCAAGGCCCCATCCATCAATCTGCCAAATATCATACAGTTTCTTCTCACTGATCTTCAGATATCAGACCAAACATGAAACGGAGTAAAAACAATACCCCCCATTTACATGGAGGGTAATAATTATTGATCTAGAAGTAAATGGACAAAACTTGCCGATGATAACTACAAAAATCAATTTTATTTGGAAAGCTTAAAGAATCTTTAATTTTCTTTAAATTACTTACATGTATGATAGCATATTTTCCTAACAGTCAAACATCAAGACATGAGTCCACTGTAGGTTAAGTAAGAGTAACCCATAGAAAAGAAACTGCACTCATAACTGATTCTCCTTCACACCTTATCATACTTTAATAAAGCAGTATTGCTATATTCTGTCATCTTCTGCTGAACCTGACTTTGTTTAAGCCTGGACCAATGGCCGTTTGCTGACAAGGTGTGACAGGACTACCTGTCATATGTCAGAGGTCACAGGCATTACAAGCGGCACGGACAGTTAAGTGCCGAGCATCCCCTTTATTTCCAGCGAGGGGCGGGCCACAACCTTTCTTTATCATTGCACCATTATCCCACAAAACAACTGTTGACGCGGAGTCTAAATGTCACACCGCTACTTCACGTGTGCTCCCGCGACCCCTCCCGTACCGGGGCCCAGCTGAGTGTGAAGCCGGCAGGTGTGTCCAATTTTCGTGTCCAACGTTGGCGACCATCAAATTTACCAAGTGCAGTCTTTTCTGTGCTTCATTACGTTTCATTTATTGCTTCATTATAGAGCTGTCTGCTGCCTTGTGGAGGTATAATCAGTGTCAGGTTGATGAATGAGCTGCTAATTTGCCATACTCAGGCAATAAAAATGACTGATTCAATCAATAACAGCAGTACAGAAGACACCCTTCCTTCTGACATGGAGTTAAAGATGTAATGGTTCCCTCAATGGAGGTAAACCCTGATAAGTAATAGACACATTCATTACTTTTAATGACTGTCTTTTGAGTTAGATCTTTATGACAGCATACATAATATTAAACATGATTTTTGACAGCAGTTTGTGAGGCTGGTGTCATTGAAACAAATCAAACACAGGTCTGTCTTACTCAGTTGAGGTAAGATAATGCATGTCCCACAGTCTAAGCTAACATTTTCTTTTTTATCTTATTTTTTCATTATCTTTATTCATTTATTTTCACCTGGCACATGGCTCTTATCCAACAAACAGTGATTCAGAAATACTTTTATTAGGAAAACATAATTTGGTCCAACAAATTTCCTAGTGCAATATCCTACCTACATGTATAAGTAATAACTCCCTGAACTACAAAGTTTACAGGAAGATATACAGTGCGTGTAAATTAGAGTGCTCTTAACAAGTATCACAGCTTTTCTTCTTCAACATCATAATAATTCCCAAAGGACCAGGTTTGAAACTTTCCCCCTGAACATGGTACTAGGACCAGTTCACGCAAGTCAGTGGTGATGTCCATGCACAATCCTGTGGCTTTATCCATGAAGGGTCCAGACTGCCTGTGACTCCACACTATGGCCTCTCTCCTGTCACAGGGCCCTTTGGCAATCTTCAGCTGGTCTGGTCTGCGGAGTCTGTTCTCTCCATAGGTTAGACAAGCCGAGTCGTCAAACTTGTACATGATCTTACCATCCAACCTGAGAAAACAGAAGCCACATTTTTTTCTTAGACCTCCCACCAAAAATGCAAGATCTAATCACACTTTCCCCTAGGATAACGTACTAATTCTGTACATTGAATATTGGCATCCTTATGGTACAGGGTGAAAACAAAGTAGAGTATGATGAAGTCTACATTTTAGATATATTTTTTATTACTTTGCATGTTAAAGATAAAAAGGAGTGAAAGGTTCCTTTTATGACCTTATACACACTATTGTCTCCATGCACCAGTGAAATCTTGCCAAGCTAACAACTTGAATTCAATAATATTGTACATTACACCTTCGTTAACTTTTCATTTTTCATTAATATCCACCAATTGTCTCTGATTCTCCATCTTTTCACTTTTGACTGAAACATGTCTTACCTCAATGAAAAGAGTTGATGGTTTCCCATTCCATGACAGGCAAATGCTCCAATTTCTGTCTCTGAAAAGGAGTCCACGCAGATCGGAATCCCCCCTCCATTCCGTATTTCACCACGCGCTCGAACTCTGGTGTCTGGGACGTGGAGTTCTGGGATGACATTTTCCAAATACCACTGGAAACTCTTGCAATCAAGATTTTTCCGCAACAGTTTCCGCTCTGAAATGTCTCCCATCTTTGCGAGCTCCATCCCTATGCCAGGGTGCAGGGCGTAGTAGATCTTCTTGTACTGGTCCAGCCAAACTTCAGCCAGACGTACGTTGTTGTGATGCACAACCTCCATGATGCTACTGGCATTGTTGTAGTTGTAGGGTTGAGACTTTCGGAAGACGTGACCGACACGCGAGCATGGCACAATCTCCAGACTGCCTCCGCACATCCAGATCTTAAATGACAGCTCCAGGTTCTCCCCACCCCATATTTGGAACCCTGGGTCGTAAGCACCAAGCTCGTAGAAGAACCCCCGATCTATGGAGAACAGGCCACCTGCCATGGTCGGCGACCTGATGACCTCATGTTGAAAGATACTATGGGTACGGCGCTTGGCTTCGACTGCTGGGAGGGGAACCCACTGGAAGAACAGCTCCCAGTCAAACCCTCCACGGACATTCTCGTTTGCCACTTCATACGCGAATGTCACTTCATTTATCCTGTCTATGGATGGACAAACAACCCTTGTCCTGTCCTCTCTGATACGGTCCAGTAGGGGTTCCAGCCATCCAACGTTACACTCTATGTGGGAATCCAGGAAAGTCAGAACCTTTCCCGTAGCAAGCTCTGCCCCTTTCAGTCTTGCCCGAATCAGTCCAGCTCTCTCTTTTAGATGGATGACTTTGACTTGGGGAAACTTTGACATGTACTGGTCCAGCTTCAGCTTGAGGTGGCTTCGTGTGCTGGCATCATCTATGAGAAGGATTTCTTCCACCAGATGTGGTGGAGACCTGTTGATGACACTGTGTACTGATCTCAACAGGGTAGACCAAGACTCCTCACAGAAACATATGATAATGCTTGTCGTGGGTAAGTCATCTGCCACCTCCTGCTCAGCACATCTTAGTGGTCTTGTGTCTGGGAGGGACCTCTCGTATGGAATGAGGTCGCTGATGAACTGGTTGAAAGAGGCAGCCTTCCAGCCAGCCTCGATGTCTGCCTGGTGCTGCGGCATGGCGTCCCTCACTGCCCTTCCTCCTGCACCAGGTGCTCGGGGATCCCTTGGCTCCGTTGTTGCATCAACGTTGAGGACTTTGTGCTTCTTTGCTGTTTGAGCTTCTGTTCCGCTCGTAGAAAAATCTGTATTTTCCACCTCTGAGTGTTTTCCAACATCACTTCTGCGATTCCCTACCTTTGGTGCGATAGTGAGTGACTGAGTCGTGCCTTTTCCCAAGTTGTAATTTAGAAGGCTCAAGTTGATAAGGAGCCAAATGGACAGCATCCCTAAAATGGTCCATGTAGACCTCTTCCACCAAATAGGATGCATCATACTAGACTGGGCACATAGATCTGCACAGACTACACACCGACTGCTTTGCCACTTCTCTTGGGCTGGAATGCACAGCGCTACTAATAATATGCTGACTAATCCCACGTAAAAAACAGTTTACAAACCGGATGCGGACAACTTGTTTTTTTAATCCGATTGCTCAAGAGCCACCACATGACAGCTAAGCCTCTTGTCTTTTGTTGATGTGATGGTACTGCTTAATGCTACCTCAGACTGCCAGATTTCTTTGTAAAAAAAATCTTGAAATTTGAACTTTTTCGGTACATTAGAGAAGTGAAATTTAAAGTACCTGTACATTGTCAAGGTAATAGAAAGTGACCTCAGATCACAGGCAGGAAATACTGAACAACTAAGCCTCATTGAGTAAATCTCTCGCCCTTCATTGTCATCTATCACAAGTGCTTTTCAGTCATGGAGTACACTTCTGCTCAGTTTCCTTCAATCAGATCCTTGATGCTCTAATTCACAATCATTTATACAACAAACTGTACAAGGACTTCAAATGAGATGCATGGATGATCAAAAGAGCTGATGCAATATCAACTGTGGTGAAAAACTATTATATATGTGAACGCAATATTGTATAAACCTCAGGCAAACAAAGGTAATAAAAGCAATAGTCACTTTAGTTGTTTGTAACTTTGCTACTATTAACGCACTTCAGGCTTTTACAAGTTCTAACCTTCATTCTGCATAACTCTTCTCAAAAATATGCTCTCTACTACAAGATTGAGGTGAGTAACCTCTAGGGTACTGTACTGATGATAGAGGTCGTTGACTTGAAACCATTTTGCATAAAATACGTCATGCAGGGTACTTCACATCCTCAAGTGCCTCAGTGACGCACATGCCTGTTTCTGATTTGTGGGACTTTTCTGCCATTGTCAATATTTGCATCATTGTTGTTGATGTAACAATGGCAACATTAACATAGAGCACATTGTGACAAAAACATACTTGGCAAATAGAGATCACTTTAAGAAATATACCAAGAACTGTTCACATGTCTAAAGGTGCGAATGTGACAAAAAACCTGGAAATAACTTCCTGTTGGTGATACTTTGGAGAGGACCTGTTATGATACTTGGCACCAGGACTTACCTATGGCGTACAGATGGCCGTCCACACTGCCCATGTAGAAACAGGACCGTCTCTCGTTCATGGGGGCCACCTGCAGCCAGGTGTTGAACCTGGGATCATAGCGGCTGACAGAGTTAACACTGTACTTCCCCTCAGGGTCCCATCTGTCCTCACCACCTGACAGAAAGAACATAGCAGTTCTAGTCACATTTCACAAAAAACATGCATTTTTGGGCTCTATGAAATAACGGTTCAGTTTTCAGGATGTTTCCTTTTCACACATCTGCTATACCTCGATGTAAACCAAGCAGGGAATACATGATGCACTGCTGTGTTATGAAAAGGTGTTTCCTTCATTCAGTTGTTCAGCTGTGCACCCTCCGGTCATTGTGTACAAGTACTCCCTCAAAGATACTTTTTGGCTGTAGAATCACCTTTCACATTGTGATTTTCAAAGAATTAACCTCTCAGAAGAAAACAAAGAAACAAACAAGCAAACATACAAACAAACAAAAATAAAATGTCTGTATCCTAAATCACAACTCTGTGCAAATGGTCCTTAAACTATCTCCTTTCCATAGGCTCATCTGTACACCAAATTGATATTGATACACTGATAACTTTTGAAGGTCAAGACTCCAAGGTCAAGACTTATGTAAATAAACAGAACAGCCAGGATGAAAATTGGAAATCAACATCACTACATAACATTTATTGCTCTTTGATACAATCTGTCATGAAATAAGTTTCAATTTCTGTTGGTTTTGTTGTAGCACAACACCAGACTACATGTTCAGCACCAAGGACAGGTACAGCATTGGATAGTGGCACCTGACTGAAATCATGCTCTTGGTTATTTCTTTGGGTGAATAGGATCAGATTTTGTGTTTTTGCCCCTTCTGTCATCTTGCATGTGTTCTGAGACAATAGATCCATTCTAACTGCATGATTTTAAACCAGGATTGAAATGTTTGAAGATGTCCTCCCTACCTAGATTTATCTAGACCAGCCAATCAAAATATAGGAAAAATGATTCTTAGATCAAAAGCCTTTCAATTGATTTTAAATTGGAAACAAAAAAAAACAGGTTGCCCAAGGAAAGCTTTCTTCTGAAAACTAGAAAGGCCAATATTTGCTTTGGAGCAAATACAGCGATGGGTTCACCACATTTTACGACATGGCAGGGAAAGAATGGGAAACACAAGGGAAAACAATGATTTACATTGATATAACTATAATATGAAGTAAAATACAACTAAAACAACAGTTGGATAGCTATTCCCTACTTTATTGGTTAGGATTTTTAATTGCATAATGCAAACTGTTGATTTTCAAAATAAAAAACGTCCATGCCCGGCATTCCAATGCTGGAGCAGGAAAGCTTGAAATACCTACCAAAACACTTGAATACAGACATACTGTCAGTATGGAAATGCTTCTGTGCAGGTGTTAATCAAGTTAAATCCCAACAGCCAATCAGCAAGAAGTATAGAGGAAAGCTGCATGCCTATTGGTTGATGCCCTGCATTCCATTCTGATGACTCATGCCCAAACGTGGTAAACAAGGCAGACTAACACAGTAATACATTTGCTATAACACAGCCAAAAACTCAAATAAAACCATTCTAAAAGCCTGTATCACAATAATTTAAAAAACGCCTAGGGGTATTTGCCCACTGTACCTCCATACCAAATTTCAGGACCTTAGGCCCTAAAATGAAGAAGCTGAATCCATTTAAAGATATGGCAGGAGGAGGAGGAGGAGGAGAAGGAGAAGGAGAAGAAACATCAGAAAAAGCAATATGGTTTCACCACACCACTTCGTGGTGTGGTGAACCCATAATAAGTAAACAATCAATCCTGACTGTTTGCCAAAGTGCATTAGATTTGGCATGGCTAAACACAATACAGTAATTTCAAATGCTGATGTGAGGAAACTTTAAAATTCTCCTTGATGAGTGCTATCAAACCTCCAAGAAAACATAGTTTATGATGATGTATTGTGACAATTGTATTTTTGACAGCAATCTAACTTTCCGTTTGATGATCATCACTCACTGAATCCAACGACATACCGTAAGCGGTAGGATTTCTTCTGTCCAAACTCCAGAGACTTGGTGCAATTAATACCAAGTTAGAGCTTTAGCCATGTGTGGCCAGTTGTGGCTGAATCTGTCCCACTCCAATCATCTCTGTCCATTCCCATTCTTCTCCCTTAACCCTGACATTTGTCAATGTAGAGTTTTAATTTCCGAGTCCATCTGTTGGAGCCACTGTTTCAGATTGATAAGCACTGTGGACTTCCCCGTCCCTAGCGTGGGTTCAACGAAACAACACGCTGACATTTCACTCAAGCCCCAGTGTATCCCAATCATTTCAAGCAGCGGCAATTTATGGGTTTACTGTGCTCAGAGTCAGAACTTCTAAGCGCAGGGTCGGAGGGCATCCATCCACAAATATCCTGACATTTTGTTACTCAAGAGCCTTAAAACACCTGACGGATTTCGTGCCATTGTCCACTGAATGTCAAAATCACGCCACCATAGCAGGACTGTCTAGAAAAAAAATGTCAGACCTGAACTTTCCAGTGGTGTCCTGCGCAATTATTTACGATACGTCTTCCAGGCATGTCGAACGCTGCTCGGACCACGTAGTGAGAGTGGTGAAACCAAGGCAAGGGGAAAGCGGACGAAGGTGATAATGGCTGTTTCATAGTTTGGAACTAATGCTATATAAGTACATTTCCACAGACTTGGGCAATCATAAAAAGACAGCTTGGATCGTGCATTGTGGTGTGGATTACTACAAGCATGTTAGGGTGTTTCAAACTTCAAATCATATTTTGTAATGTATTGCGTGGATACGGGAAACAATAACTATGACTTTTTGCTTAGGTTATTTTTCAAAGGAATGTTACCTCCCAAAAACAGTCAGATTTTGATAGAACTGTTCTTTTCTAGTCACATTAGGTGCACTAGTCATGTATGTAGTCATTGGCTCCCCTTTGGAACTTCTATTCAGTTTGTCTCACCAAACAAGAACTACACAGCTTAAAGTTTTGTCACTGAAGGATAATGTCTATGTCACTGACACATTCTGTCCAATCCGGTTTCATGCCTTGTCAAATATATTCTTTTGTAAGTATGAGTTGCCCCAGGCTCCTTCTTCTCCTAGCATACAGTCTTAAGCTACAAAATACTTCTGAACTTTTCCAGTGGTGTTCAAGCAATTACATCTGACAAGTGGTGTCTATACAATTGGTTCATCTATTTGAAGCTTGAAATCTCTCCAATTAGGATTTTATACCTAATACCTGCACCTGCATCTGTACCTGTATTTAGGTCCAGACCTGAACATCTGGTGTACCTGTATCAGATGACAAATTTTGACAATTTCAACATTTGAAAATTAGGAAAATATGTAAATACTCGTTCTTGGTTTAAAACAGGTAAACCCTCATACGTAGACAACACTAAACACTGAAACATCAGTTGGCTACATGTGTACATGTTACAGATGATTGGACAAACTTATATTAGGTACAGGTACAGTATCAGCCTGTACCTGACCCCATGTATCAAAAATTTGTTAACAGTAGGTACAAAACTTTATCTCCAGTCTTTGAATTTATGACAAGAATTCAGAGATTTTAGACTTCCAAGAAGTAGGCAATCCCAATGTACTTTAACCACCTGTTATACTGCCTGTCATTCCTTCCACCCACATGTTGTCAACTTGCTGTCTGGGCACAAACCCAAGGCTCAATCAGCCACCCAAAACAATACCTCCGTAGCCAGAAGTAAATACAGAGGAAGCTGGACTGCATGAGAAACAAGTTACTTCCTCTGGAGGGCCTGCTGCCTTGTCGGCCAACCCTCAGCAGTAATAAACGTGGACTCAGCAGGGATGCCAATCACTGCAGGTTGGCAGGATTTACCCAAACTGCTCGCCTGCCCCCTGAGCTTTAGGTGCATTTAACGTGGTCACTTTACGTCAATTTATATCAATTAAGCAAAGCAGGGCTGACACCGCCAACGTAATTGATAATTCTGCAGGAGGGACAAACGTGTGGAGGGTTTGGTGCAGAGGCTTAGTGCTTTCCGATTCAACTACCGCATGCAGAAAGGATGTTTTCCTCACAGCTTTAAATAATTTCAATGCATTACTAAAATTAATTGTGAAGCATTTGATTCATGGTAAGTGCTCTTTGATTCAAGTAATGTATTGAGAAAGGAGATTTGGCTTCAGTCTGCCTTTAAAACAGCTTTTCTTTCCTATGTTCACTGGATAAGGCCTGTCCACTGGGTTTTGTCTTTTTCATATTTCATAACGTGTATGATGTTAAACCCCGACTGAACACACGATTCAGAAAACAGTTTGACTTTAGGGAATTGTCAAATGTACAGCAGGCTGCTCTCCTGGAACCTATTACATCAACACTTCCTGTACACACCTGCTCAGGTCAAGAAATTAACCTTGCTATGAAAAACACACCTGTCAGACAAACAGGTGAGGGTATTTTGAAATTTCTTTTTTTAAGAAGGCTCAATGTAGCAGCCAAAAGACCATTTCTGAGCACTGAGCTGGAGGGAGGTATTTAGGTGACAAGTCGAGGAGATGGCACTAAACATTGGCTTTGAACGCTTGTGGGTTGTATTCGGGAGCGAGAGTTCCATAATTTTGCAGTCCATGGAAAGAAGATGTGACTTAGAGATACGCATTTGGACAGTGTAACGATGTGAGCTAGAAGAGAATCTAGTGGTACACTCAAAAGCTCTCAATGGTAGAACAAGAAGTGACAGTTCATGTGCAGTTGATCAAAATAAGAGTCTCACCTGCAACAAAGAGGAAGTTGTTGATGACGGCCACGCACTGGTGTCCCGTCTTGTATGGCATGACAGTCAGCGGGACCCATGCTCGCTTCTCCTCGTTGTAGAAGTGGAGAGGGTTGTTGACAGACTGGTCACCGGCCTGGCGCATCATCACAACAATAACACTGAGTATTATTTTAGGACCATCTTGGTTGCCTCTGTGTATGGAGGTTTTATTTTTGGTGTGTTTGTCTGTCTGTTAGTTTGTTTATTTGTGTGTCCATAGTTAATGTATTGGCATAAAATTGTGATTAAAAAAATGATATCTAGTAATATTAGCTTTTGTCCATCACTCTATCATTAAATGAGTTGTTTTGAATTGGGGAAGCATCCTTGTCAATACCACTTATTTCTTACAATGTAATAGGAGACATTGATCTTGAAAAGGTAAAAAAAACACTTTGTAAATTTCCTCTGTGATATTTCTCCATCAAGATTCAAACACTTACTATTGATTTCAGTGGTCCCCATTTACCAGTACAAAACTTTTGAAAAATTCTCTGTTGTTTTCATCTTTTCTTTTTGTTATTCTTGTCACAAGATCACAAAGAAAAGGTCTACTGTTAGTGCTTCCTAATTGAAAGCCATGTCAGATGAAATCATTTTGGAGTAGCGTGGAAATTCATTACAAAGCCAAACAACTAATGCCTATATCTGAATAACTTGACCACATCGGCGACCAGAGACCTGACCTATCCAGGGGGATTACCAATTTCACAACTTCATCGGCCAGCAAACTAATTAAAGAAAATCTTTCCATATAGCCAAGACCCCTGTGGCACGAACTTTGGCATACGCGGGGCAAAAAAATGGCATGTGCACCGTGCGGAAAATTATAGAGGGCTGCTCCCTATGTCATTAATTCCTAACAAATGTATTCTGGTAATTAACTTAAATTGTGTGCAGCAGCCATTAACATTTAGCACGCTGCAGCCAAAGGTTGGAGGGAGTGGACCCTGCAGGGCCAAGACACCGATCACCCCTGAACTTTGCCGATCACATGTGAGTGAAAATGATGGGGGCGGGTGTTAAGGAGGCCAATTATTATCCATTTCTGTCTTGATTTAATAGAGTTAACCCCAGGCACCCTGTTACCCTACTTCAACCAAACCTTGACAGGAGGTGCATACGTACATGTATAAATACCTGTAGTGTCTGACACAACATACATGTAGTACAATGTATCAAATCAAATACCAGATTTCCAATTCTCTCTGGAAACAAGCATGCAATATATTTGGTCAGTCTATCATCAGTTCTCAAGTCCAAAGTCTAAAAGAAATAAACAAGGAACTAAATAATTGTTTAAAGACACATATTTCTAGCACACGAGGGATTTAGGTGATAATGCAAAGTTAGTAGAGTTTAGAAGAACTTTTGGCCCACACTGAATGATCTACTTGTATTGTCTTTTGTTTGAGTCATTTAATGCTTTATACCGAATGATGTCCTACGACTACGTGCAGAAAGTTGAATTCCTCCATCAGGCAAAGTTGAACATCCTCTAGTTTGCAAGAAAGGCAGGGCAAAGATAATAAGAGAAACAACTGACAGTTTTTTATATTTAGCTGACAATAAAGGTTCCTTTATAGCACAAAGATGTACTAGTGCATGGCAGGGTGGTCTCTAGTATCCAGCCAGTATTACCCCATTACCCTGTGCACTGGCGCAGGGTAATTGGCACCCAGTCATAGGGAGGTAAGGTGGAGAATTACTGGGTTACTCACCTTTGGTATTCCTCCGACTGCCAAGATGGCCTGCTTGCGACATCTGAGTCTCGTGGTCGGCGACTGCAGCACGACCTGCCGCAGCGGCATGAGATGATAGTTCATGGCGTCGAGAAGCAGTTTCTGACACACGGGTTCGTTTTTCATGAAGTCTACGGTCTGAACGTGTTCGACCAAGTCCGACGCGGGAATGAGGGGGAAGCGAATTTTTGTCATGAGGGTGGCTGCATGCTGCATCCGGTTTTCCCGATCACGGTTGAGCCACATGAGTCCGACTCTGAAGAGAGTCATTTCTGGGAAGGCGAACTCCTGGTCGCTCTCGAGCACGTCTAGGATCTCCTCCAGGCTGAGATCCTGGAACTGTTGGATGAAGCACTTTGTGGCCAAGTCTTTGGTTTCGCGTAGGTTGAACATGGCGGCGATACTGGCGACTTCCATGCACGTGTTTGAGGCTATCTGTTGGTTGAGGTACTCGGAGCAGAGTTTGATGACAGACGGGATGACGAGGATGTTAGCAGCCACGAGCACTTCCTCCACGTTCCCGAGACTCAGGGTGAGATTCGACGTGTAGAGATACTCAACCACTGCGAACAGTCCGGCCGCTGTCACCCCCTGTAGTTCAATCTTATCCAGCTTGCAGTCTTTGGAAAGCCCCGCAAAGAGGGCCTTGAAGTAGTCGCTACTTGATGCCAGAACGGCCTTGTGCACGGCAAAGCTCTGTGGGCGCAAGCGAGAAATGGGAAATTGATTCCTCTTCTCATCAGTGTAAGATCACTGTCTATAAAAACTTTTCATTTAATGGCCTCTCCGACATTTGTATCCTGGAATATATTACGCTCCCCCTCCCCGCCACTACATTAAACTGAAATAATTTACGTTCGGTCAATTATCTGTTTCAAATATCATGGAGAGAGATCTGACGCGCAACGTTGGCCACTGAAGGACAAATCAATGGGGCTAGAATTACTCTTTCACTGGTGCGTGTAGATATAAGCATGGTGGACAAACGGCCCCACTGAGCAATATCAGCCAAGGTGAGAAAACTGATTAAAGTCAGACAGGTTTTCTGGGAAACAGGTGGTAGGGGAGACCTTGGCTTAAGTGACATGCAACAGTGGATGTTTAAAGAGAGCCTTTTTCTTCTAATTGGATATCTGGGCTCTGCTAGCATGAGGGAGAAATGCAATTGGAAAAAAAATCTAAATCTAGAACAATTTTAAAACTTAAAGATGAATTACCAACAATCTAGAACAATTCATGTGCTGACAGACACTTGTTCGATAGTTATCCTAAATTACATGTATATCACGCGATTAAAACTATGCACATAATGATTTCATTCAGTGTCATAATTCAGCTAAAGACATTGTCCAAACCACAAACTTTGTAAAGACATATCCAACATCAACAAAAAGGAAAACATCCTTTGTAGTACAAAATGAGCGATAGGGAATTATCCTTAGAATCTTGTGTCTCCTGTCTCCTGCCAAAGATTCCGGAGAAAGACTCTGATTGGGAGTTACATTACTGGCTGAATCTCTGGACACTTAGTGACTCACTTCAAACAGAGATGTGCCAGAACACTGATCGATCTGCTCTGATGAGGCATCTTAATGGGAAGAGGGACCTGGTATCACACCTGTGATCTTAATAACATACAGCTTCCTCTTCAGAAGTGGGTGGACTCTTTCTGACCATGCATTTGGATGGTGTGAACTTTATATAGGATTCTGACGTCTACATTTTTCTTCGAAATATATCTAAATATATCTAAGGCTCAGTGCCTTTTTTTCTTGATTTTCTTTGTGTCCATCACAGTGTGGTTAAATTAATGATGAAAAAATGGCATATTTTTGACATGAGATTTTCTTTTCACAATATGTCACAAAGAGTTGAATTTTTGCATGAGGTTTTTTGTTTGCTTGTAATGAATAAAATCATACAGAAATAAATCAGACTCAGTATCAATGAAAATATAAAAAGAAATGTTTTGGGATACATGATATCATAATTATATAATAACCAAGATGATACAGAAAAATGCTTTATAACTATTTTGCCCAACTTAGTTAGATGTAAGGCAATGTATAGACAGTATTGAGAATCACCTGAAAAAGCTATAATCAAGTTGCTCTTGAAAATGTAGCCTATAATCATTAAAATGCACTCCTATTATCAACATAGTATTAATTTTACTGCTTCCAATTTAATCAAAATTCAGATACGAAATTGTTTAGAAATGGTAGTGTACTGATAAGTGAAGATATAGACAGGGTTAAGAAGACTACAACTAGCTGCAGCTCATGAAAAAGTAAGCCCATGATTTAAATTACACCCCTGGCCTAGTAATATTGTATTTACTGCTTTTGAATTATCATTCAAATTAATCAAGACTCAGATATGAATTTGTTTACGAATGCTGGAGTGCTGATAAGACAGGGATGAGAACACCAGGCTACAGTCAGCGATGCCAGTGCTGACCTGTACTAAGCACTAACGGCCCCTCGGCCCTGTCTAATCAGGGCAGGAAGAGGGATACTTGCCTTGCCAAGTGTTCAATGCTTCGCAAACGAAGCAGATCGCTGCGAGCGGCGGTGTGAAATGAGGTGCAGATTTGTCATCAGGCTCGCAGAAGGAACCATTAAAGTCTGTCCTCCTCTAACAACTTGTACATTAATGACACCATTATCTCAACTAATTAAAGTCAATATCAATCGGGGGAGGGATCGAGCCTTTTTTCGAGTCCCACTTGGCATCGCTGGAAAATGGAACATGTTCTAAGTGGCAACAGGAGGGAGATAGAATAAAAATAATTTTACTGGAGTTTCTTAAATTGCATAGAAGGAAGACATCAAAACTTTCTCAGGCATATTATACACATGTACATGTACATGAAGCCTTCTAGACTTCTGAACACCTAATATTGAATTGATTAAAATGAACAGCATCAACAAACATTAGATATTAAGAATAGGATCATCAAGTCTATGACCAGTAAAAAATTGACAAAAGTCTTGATTATCATTATGATAATTCACTGTATACATTTGTAGGTTGCCATTTGTTTGTGTGATTTGGGGCATGGGAACTAAAAGGTTCTTGACGCTACAAGTGTGTTGAACACCCAGAGAAAGATGCTAGCATGTAAATTTTAAAAAAGGCTGTCATAAATACTCTTAAGTAATATATCAAATACAAGCAAACAATGGCAAGATTTTCTTCCACTCCACCAACATACATAACAGAGAATTGAAATAACATGACTGTGTGTTTTACTTTGGGAATTAGAAAAAGTCAGAGGCTGTTTCAAGAGTCAATGTTGAGGCCTGCTACAAAACAACCACTGGAAAGCGTTAAGTCATATTCTTACCTGCTTTTCCGCCACGATGACAAAGTCACACAAGACTTTATCTGCCCGCAGTGCGTGGAAGCCCTCCAGGACCTTCTGGGCATGTGCAGGGTCCGAGATGAGCATGTGGTTGGTCGAGTCGCCCAGGTCCCGCCGCATCCGCTTCCATTGTTGGGCGATGATGCCGGTCGTGGTGTCCGCCGAGTCGGCCTGCATGACCTAGTGCAGAGGGAGCCGGGAGAACGATGTGGTTTATACCCAGAATCATTATCACAAACCCTTAGGCCATTACTTCTTGTCATCTGCAAGACTTTCCAATGATAACCTTTCCTACAAAGTCAAAAAATATTTCCTCCACAAAGCTCTTAGCAAGACTACCACCTGTAACAATTCCACCTCTTAGTACTTCAAAATGTTTATACATTATTTTAACGTTATATATTCTAGGGACTGGTCCATCATTATCATTGTTATTAAAGGCCATCCTCTCCCCCTTCATCAAAGATTTCTCTAACCTTTAGCAGCCTTGGAAAATGATTTAAGCATTACAAGATTTGTTACTAATGCATGTCTGGAATGCATGAATGTGAAGTCTGTTGAATTCTCTTGTCTACTTGGCCATGACTCATAGTGCTTTGGAATGTACCATGAGGAGTGGGGGAGTGTGTTACAATTCACATAACATAATCCTGACTTGTTTTCTACCTCATTGGTGGCATATTCATCAAAGTTGAACAATACAATTTTATAACTCCTCCTTTGTCAATGGTTTTCTAATTTTTTCTACATTTTGTCAAAGCCTCTGTCATACATGTGCATCTCTGTGCTCTTCATCAGAAAAGATGGAAACTGCTACTCTAGCATGTCACACATAAACAAGTTTAGCTGTCAGCAATGTAGGAAGTCCGTGAAAATAAGGATGACAATGACACTGATGATTCACAAAAAGTGGATCCTGTCCTTTTCTTGCCAGGCTGACTAACTTCATTACCAATACAAATTTTGTGCCAAATGGCTACATGAGCACAATGTTGCTGATGGTTATATCTAACTGGGTTATTATTTATTTTTTATTGGATGTTAACTGTCTTTTTATGATCTGAGAGCTTGGTTTTGACTGGCTGCACCCTTACTACACTTAGTAGATGCCACCTGTTCCATTACTTGTTCTCCTAATCTCCAAGCAGATCATACAGTGGCAAGGCGGTATCCATTGGCCAGAGGACTGTCCATTATCCTCTGGCCAATGGATACTGCTTTGCTACTGTATGATTACCGATTATTGTTTCCCCCCCTTCCCACATATTCTGCCCTCAATGGTTTAGACTTTATGGATTTTTATTATTATATTACCTCAGACCATTGATAACTACTGTGTTCTGCAATGTTAGCATTTTATTTCATTGGCTAATGCTCCAGTCCCAATGGATTTCTTCCAGCTACAGGTACTTCCAAACAGACATCACCTTGGCAGGTGTCCAGTATGACTCTTCAAGACTGCCTCAACAACCTGTTTTCTCCCGACGTCAGTGTTCAAGAGTACCAGTGTATGCTGAACTTGGGCATTCCCTCAGAAGCATTTATATTGGGAGATGACCTAAAAACCATGTGACATTCCACAGATATTGTGAATGCATTCAGTTGGAATGTGTCCAGCACATTGGCTTGTGACTTGGCCACAATTTATCAAAATAAAGAAGTTTGATAAAATTTGTCTACATATAGTAATATACGTGTGCTGATTTAGAGGGTTTGTTTGTATGTTTGTATGTTTGTTTGTCATAACTGTTAAGGCCTTTAGAAATGACACACAAATTGTGTACACAGTAAGTGCTGCATTAGACCGGACTATAAGGTTTGATCCTGACTAGGTGCAGTAGCATCTTTAATATGGTGAATGTGTAGCTCTCCTCACAGGGCCTCTGGTTTTACGTGACGTCCCCTCTGAAAGGAGTCTTTAACCAAAGCTTTAAGCTTACTTATAGGCACTCATTTTCACCTTAGTCAACTTAATTAATAGGTGTAAAGTGTCTTTCCCAATATTGGAGCCTGCAGCTAGGGATTCGAACCCAGAACCTTTACATTCGATGACACTAACCACATGACCACTTGTATTGATTGATAGGTCTGCAAGGGAACCTAGAACCCTCAGATTCTAAGTCAACAACACTAACCACATGACCACCTGTATTGGTAGGTGTGCATGGGGACTGTTTCAGGGCAGATGTAAACTGGAAGGTGTTGTCTGCTTGGACAGTGTCCAGGACAACTTGTTGGCCCATAACAACCTCCCGGATCACATGTCCATCAAACGATTAGGCTCCCCTACCCCACTATTCATTTATGGCTTGCTTGTAATTGAAATTTGTTGTACGCCCCGTCCTGACATGGCACGACCCAGCCAGGACAACCATTGATTATGACAAATGAATGGCAATGTTACAACAATGACTCTTCCCATAAAAGTTAGGACTTCCCTCCTGAAAAGAAAGTACTAGTAGTTGTCAACACATTGTGAGGTATTGAATATTCATTTTGTAAGATGAGCATAAGACCATGATTATGATGTCGAAGATAGCCAAAAAAGGCTGATGATAAAGTCTTGATGATATGAAAGGTCTGAGTGGATTTTTAAAGGAAAGTTCCCTATGATAGTTTGAATAAGAATCTAGCTCATGGATTTGATTTGAAGTTTTCAAGAATTTTCTCTTTTTTTTTGGCTTACATCTTCCAGTGCTTCCAGGGCTTTAAATTTTGAACTACCTTTAGAGTATCTCTGCAACAAGATCTCTGGAGATCTGGAGATTATCAATAAACAAGATCTCATGTAAGAAACAAGACTTTAAGGTAAGTACTGGCAGAGGTAGTGAATATACTGTAACTCTTGAAATGTTTGTGGTGGTTTTCTCGATTTGTCATGACCTCTCCACTACAAAATCATGACACTGCAAATATGAGTTTCCAAACTTTTACCAACTGCACTACAGAATTGTTATAACCAACAAGTTTTTTTTAACACTGCATAAACCTCCTCTCCCCTTCTAGCTCAACATCAAATCTCTGGAAAAATAAATGAATTTACAGTATGGTACTCTGTCTAGTGGGTCATCTTATTAGTTTAAATAGCTGACTTATAAAGATCTCAGAACATAGACATGATGTTTAGATAAAGGCAACACTGAGTCTCCAGCTTCAGTAAGAGCACACCCCCTTGTTATGGCAAGGGGCCCTGTTGGACGGGCGATAAAGGCCAAAGCCCGCAGTCACGGCTCGGGGCCACTCCATCAAAGCCGTCGTCACGGGCAGAGAAGAAGGTGTGACCCGCGGTCACGCCCGTTATCGGGGAATTACGGCTACTGTGATAGGGTACTGACACAGTCTGGCGGCTCTGTATTTCACAGGCTCATCAACAACCTCTCTCCCACCTGTACCTGATTTCTCCTGCCTGATGGCCAAGGTTCCTGTCCACGCACCACTGCCCACACCTCAGCACAACTCTCCCAGCAGTCTCAGACAAACTGACGGCACCCTGAGACTACAAAGCTGGTGTGAGAAAGGTCCCTGGGTCCCTCTTAGCTCCAACACCACACAGCTGCCATGTCAAAAATACCTACAAACTTTTAATACATATTTCTATATCAGTATCTTTAAAAATGAAAATAAAAATAGTATATTTACATGTTTCTCTATATCTATTATCTATAAGACTATACCGGTATATTCAATGAGAAAAGCAGTAAGTTCATTTAAACTAAAGCACCAGCAATTTGAAATATTTGAGTTTTCTAAGCCATCATAGCGAGGAGTTATGCATGAGCGACCTCCAGAAAAACAATAACATAAACAAGGTCTAAAAGTCCGTCGTCTGGATATGAACCGAACAGGATGGACCTCAAAGAACAGAGGACGAAGGATGTAAACATTCCTTTCAAGTGATTTTTTGTTCACAGTTACATATATATGTGTTGAACAAAGGATTCAAATCTTACCCATTCAGCAATAGATTTTTAAAAAAATTTCTTACACAACTTTTTCCTTATTAAATACTAGTATCACCTTAGCTCGTAGTCTTACAAGAAAATGCATGGCATATAAATAATTCATGTTAAGATCTGATATACGATACCTGTTTACGGCTAATTAATAATTAATTGATTCACTGGATCTAATTATATTTAGTCTCCTGACAATTATCCAATAATCAAGGAACGAATGCTAAGTCATTTCAATTAGGTGACATCCTGCTTCCTGTCAAGACAACACATGTAGTTGGTAAATTTTACACCTTAGTTATAGGTTGTGACACCTCCTTTCCACTAGACGTGGGGACCAATGAGCACCAAAAATTTGACAGATGGCACAGTGAATTTCACTAATAAAGAATGGTTCAAAACATTTTTTTCGTACCTTTGCATTGTGCATCATATCTTATTGAATCAAGAAACACACAAATTTAATTATGTATATGTCACTCAACGGGCACTCAAGAAATTGCTATAAAGTACCTTAACTAGACTAACTGTAAGTAAAGAGTTGTTTTTAGAAATAGGGCATGTCCACAGACACCCGGTGGTTCTGGGTCAGTAGTTCTGGAGTGCAGTCTAAACAGGATATAGGCATTAGCACAGGTACATAGAGCTATTGTTACTAACTCACAGGCTGAAACACCAACAGGTCAGGAACAACATTAAAAAATGTGGCAATAGAGACAGATAAGAAGAATGCAGGATGACATCATCATGACAGGATGACAGCTTTTTATCAAAAGATAAAAAAATATGCTTGAATTCATGCCTTGGGCAGGGATTAGCCTATTTCTTTCTTTACATTGTTATTCTACTAAGTATTTACTTCTTTCAGAATAGACATATTTATTCCATCATCCCATCATTGTGTAATGTCACAAACATTTTACTCATTGACTTAAATTGTGCTGCAAATAGTGTCTGCATCTGATGTAACTGATCCAATTGAAAGGTTTCAAACACATCACAGGTATTCTGAGCTGAAACATACTCTTTCACCCACACATTGCTAACAGTTACAAGACTTAAATACTTCCCTGGAGGTCACCAACAGGAATGCAGCACCAGAAATCAATTTAACATGCTTTAATCATGCTTTCATAAGGTCTGGGCAACAAGAAACTTGTGATACATGGAACAGCATCTCCCAATCTTGTTGTGATCCACCTGAGTTTTTTTTGGGCCCCCATGGCAGCAATCTTATAGCTGTTCTGAAAACTATAAGAACTATCAGACACTATCATCAGGTGTGTTGTTCCATGAGATGGTTCTTACACCCCAGAACAGGTCCCTACTGAGATAAGCACATGGTGTGGACAGTGAAGAATAGGGTGGGTGGAACCCTACTCAAAATGTCTCCTCCCTCTATTTGACTAGAGGTATCAAATATTGATAGCTTGTCTGGTCTGTTGCACAAATCCAATGTAAACATTTCAGTGGAGGAAAAGGTTTTCAAGAAATCTATTTCCCCTCAATATTCCTTACTAACTAATGTCTGTATTGTTCCAGTATTGGTGGTTGTGTAAGGAAAGAGGATATGAAAGCCTCATGTCTTTGTGCTATAATGTTAATTTGAATTACCATTATCCTTAGTTTTCAAAATTAACTACCTTTGTAATTTTCTGTATTGAGATTGTACAAACTAACAATAATGAAACAGACCAATTTGTCCCTTAATAGACTTCCTGACAGAACAACATTTATTTTTTTAAAAAGTGAAAAAGAAGGTTACCGTGTGGGGTCATCAGACTAAGCTCGTTAGAAGCACCCTGGTGACCTGTGCTGGCCAAAACCCTGTCACCCTGAGAGTGTGATTAATGACACCACACAAACACAAATCTTTCCGTTCTCTGTCACATCACACAGCCATCTATTGGCCGAATTCTGGTGGAACATTTTACGGACAATGGTTTTCTTTTTCCTTGGACAGAGTGTGGCACGATACATATCTGCATCCATTCAGCAAATATTGACAGATCATAAATTTCAGATGGTTAAAAAAAGTGGAAACTTTATATTGAACTTTGGAAAGTCCAGGGTAAAAGATCTTCTTCAAAGAATCTTCATGTGCATCTTGACATCATTGATATTTGTGTGAAGGAATCTTCCATGTCACAAGCCTTCACTTTAGGCTAGGTCGGAAAAAGGGGAATCCCTGCTTTGAGTCAATTTTCAATGTCTGACACTTGTCATTCTGCATCAAGGTTTCCAACTCCGACAAAATCATATTTGTAATAAGCTTGGATTACCTGGAATAAAACAATACAGAATTTGTATGTCTAATCATAAGACTTTCCCAGAGCAATATCTCAGCACATTTGATTTATCAGTGAATATTTCAGTGCTGGATATTAGGGTAAGTTTCTGAAAAGGATTGGATTGGTCCCACTTGTTATACACATAGGCATAAGAAAGGCAGACAAGTAGCAAAAGGAAAAGAAAGGTATGACTTTGGTTGTTAAATATTTAAAAGGTAAAAAGCAAAATTCAGATTTCTTCAAACCTACTCACAAAACCAATGTGGCAATGACAATGATTGCCACTAAATCCAAAACAATGTACATCCCAGAAATGTATACTCATCATAGACAAGTTACAGTTTCTTGGCACCTATCATTTATATTTAAGACACAGAAAGGGAACTCACAATGCTTCCCATTTAAAACACATAAAGATAGCCTAAAGATCATTTCATCCATCTTGACAGTCATTTCAAACTGATGTATTTGACAGGTGTAGCTATTTGCAGCTCCATTGCCAAAATAATCACCCCTTTCATTCAAAAATATGAGACGCCCCATTGACCCTAAGGGCTTACACAGACCAGCCCACTTTGTCTCAGGGGTGTGAAAGCAGTTCTAACTTCCAGCATATTTCCAGCAAAGTGATTCAGGATATAGGCCCTACTTTGCAGGATCAATAATCTGTATTCCCATGAACGTAAACACAAATCAATACAAACACGTACAAACTTCAGCTAAGAAAAAATACATCTTCAACGGTTCAACCCCGTTCAAACTGACATGAAATATACTGCATCAATAACAACATCACCCTAATCATCAGAACACAATCACACATGACTCCCCCAAGCCTAAACCCCGCTCCTCTGGGAAAAGGTATTCCAATAATACAGAATCTAACTGTGACATGATTTAAAGCCATTATATTGGCGCTGGCACCACGATTTCACTTAACCTTGTTTTGGAAATAACGAGCAATTATGTTTGTCTAAGTGGGTCAAAGATTTTGGATATCTCAACATTGGGTAAACATGGAAATCATTGATGGGAACTATTACAGACCGCTGCCAAAATCCAAATCAGTGCCTTTCACAAATAACCTGGCCTGGAAAAACATGACATCTTAAGTGAAGAATGAATGCTTTTGTTGGATGGAAGTGGGTGAATTCCTTCACATACATGAAAAGGAAAACCAACAGAAATGCCAAAGATAATCGTGATAGGGCCACATGGCCTGAGACTACCTTTCCTTCGCTGCTTGGTGTCTCCCCTAGTTAAGATGTCCAACAGTGGTCACTACACCAGCCCTCCGCATGCGGGAACAGTCTCCTAGGTCTCTAACCTTCCGCAGAAAGTTTAGCGTGGAGGAAAGTTGGTAAAAAACGGCGGGAAGGAATGCAGAAACAGTCTCCCTTACCCCTGTATCACACGATCACGTCCGCTTGGCTGCCCTCTCTCTATTTTTTCCGCTCCGGTGGCTGCCAGCACCATCACGTTACCCCGGCCCATTTAATGAGAATCAGGGGCAGACGAGCGGAACCGAGCCGAGGGGATCTGCTATTCTCCCGCCTTCCCGTCCTCCATGCACCAACGCTTGGCGGGCTTAATGTTCAATTCTTAATTTCACGCTAGCGCCAAGATCGTTGAGTGGACAGACAGAGCGCCGTGCAAGAAACTTTTTTTGTCTGCTGTGATTGGAAAGAAAGAAAGACGAGAAATAAAAGAAAAGGCCGGTAAGAGTCGGGGAATTAACAGGCCGGGGGCACTCTTGTTCCGGTGGCATGGTCGGGTGGGCACAGTTGAAATGTGCTGAATGCATGCAGCCTGTGATAGCCTGAGGCCTGGGTAAGGGTCTACTGGCTGAGGTTGTTAGTGGAACCAGGTTAGGTGTATCCTGCAGCCCTGAAAGATACAAGACAGGTGCTCCTAAAAATCTTAAGGAGCGGTGGCATGAAGGGGCTCTCTAGAGCATCCCCGGGGAGGATCATGTCTGCATGGATGCTGCAGTAGATAGAGGCATGCCCTGTATCCAGACTGGGTGGAGATCCAAGGGGAGGAAAGATCCCCAGTGTTTTGTTCCAGCTGGCTGGTTTAGTGTATAGTACGGTGTAGCAGGGAAGGAAGCGGGGATGTTGGGAGAAGGAGTCAGGAGAAGTGGGGGACGCTCCCAGTGAGACCACAGGAGTGGTACACTGCAGGACGTGAAGGGAGTCATGTTGAGTTGTACTGGGAAGGCCAGAAAGTCAGCAGGTGTCACAATAACAAGCCATATAGACCTGTACACCCATCTGTCATGCAGCAGTAGGGGGAGAGAAACCTCCATTGACTGGCTGCATTTGCATCTCAATACCTATAAAAGTGCCAGGCAGCATAAAGGGTGCGTTACCGTGGAACGAGGGGAGAGGTTTATGGCGTGTCCCCCAATTTGTGCTCGTGTGCCCTCTGGTGCGGACAGGGGTGGTGAGTTACTTGCCGGGCGGTAAAAATTGACAAAAAAGTTGTGGATGAGGAATTCCAGTGATCTAGGCACCTGCGTCAGCGTTATCTATCATCGCAAGGCGGGTTCCAGTCGGTCGGCCAGACTCAATCGGCGCGCTTTGCGGTCCAGCAGAGCAAAACTTCTCACCGTAAATGTCAGCGCCCGCGCATTCGGTTCGAGAGCCATAAGCACAAATCAGATATTGTCGAATTTCAGGAAGCGCGTCGGCTGGAAGGAATGAAAAACGCTCGCCGTAAACTTTTTCGAGCAATTTCTGGGTGATAAAAGTCGGGCGGGTGCAAATTCAGGGATTTGGCTCCCACCACGGGTCGTTATCGGCCTCCTTCATGCCATCTTTAGTATGCGGCGTGCGTGGCATGGGAGGTCAGTCGAAACTACACCGCCCTTTCAGGCGAGAAGAAAAGAATAAATCTGGCTGAGAAAGAAATCAATACTTTTCCCGGGTTTCGGCCCGCTGGTGGCAATTACTGCAGGCATTGGGCTGTGAAAAACAGCGGAGAATGGCAGAAAGTTTGGGCCTGAGAAAGTTTGGCGCACCCCAGCGGCTTCACAACAATGAGGAACTGTGCTGACAGCCGACTGCCAACTGCCACTGGGACTGTGCGCATGCAGACAGGGGACGACTCAGGTGTGCTTTGGCGGAAGGCGCTTGGGAACGGGACTGTTCATTTCCAATATTCCAACTGTTGTGGGGGTGTGAGCAGCTACTGGCTCTCATAGATACAATGTATGTACCATTTGTGCAGAATGAAGGGCATTTGTTATAATCAACTAGTGGGCAGGTGTTTTAACACAGGTCATTGCAGCCTGCCAAGTTCTAATGACTGAAAGTTTACACATACATGTACTGGCTATTGCAACAGACTGATCTGATACCATCAGGGGATGTTTACTGTACATTGTGAGAACACACCAAGCATATCGAGCTGGTTTGTGCCTTTTGTAGAGTTGAATGTAGATTGAAGTTTTTCAACATTGTACATATATATAACGTCGATAAGAAACAACTAGCTCATTGTCATTATTGTAAATGTATGTCAATGAAAAAGTCTTAATATCTTGTCACCTCAATTCAGCTGGTGATACTGGACATACATAGCTAGAATTGCAATGGTATTTCCAAGTTTTCATGATATTCAAGCGCTTGTCAAACTTTTCTATCTTTGAGAATCAATTACCCATCTTTAGTGTTTAAAAATGTGTCCGCTAGTGTTTTGTTTAGGTACACAGTACTGTACGTGCATACTAGTTGTTTACTATTATATACTACAAGTGCATCAATTGTCTGGAAAAAATATCAGAGATGGGTAAAGTGCTCCCTTTTTCTCCACATCATTCATAGATGCTTGAAGATTTTTCGATGGCTCCTATCTTTTCTGGATGTATGAAAAACCCATTTTTTATGACCATGGCTTTCCCAGGATCAGCCCAGCTCCGGATCCTGTTGTGTTGTTGCTGGTGTCTTCCCTCATGCCTGTCCGCCCCGCTGCGTGTCAGCACAGGTGTGCCGCTCCATGGAAGATGCACCGTCTCCAGGTCATAGGTCAGATCCGGCTGGCTGGCTGGCTCCTCTCTCTACCCCAGCAGACAGGAGTTGCCAAAAGACACCTGTGATATCAATAAACATACAGCCCAGTTGTTTTGGGTAGCGGCTAGCCCTGAAAATGTCAAACGGAAGGCTGAAATACCAGACACTGTTTGGGATACGTGTCCGACTGCACAGACGTTATCTCTCACAACATCTCGCACGACTACAGGGAAGAGGATAAACAGGAGACGTTTCTGAGAAAAAACGTGGATGTCATGTTGTTCTATCTGTGGTGAAATGTTTGACGTATCCAACAGTTAAAAGGTTTAGTAGCGCAGATTACAGTACTAAAGAAAGAAATAGTTTTAAGTCTTTTCGAGCCATTTTCTGGAATTCCTGCAAGGGCAAAAAGATCACAAATGTATAGACCGTAACGTTACAATAACGTTACACATGTCAGGAAGTAATTTGTTACCTTTCAGTAAAGCAAGCTTGAGGATCCACCACAACTTTCAGGACAGAATTATGATTTACCGAATCAGAATTGTTTAGTAAACGCTTAAGAATTTTCGAATTAGACCACATTAAAATATCCCATTAGAAACTGGGTACTATAGTATAACTTTCCTCTGGCATTTCTAATGTAACCTCTCGCCACGAATTACTAGGTCTAGAGTACATGGAAAAGGATCCAAAGCACGTCATACCCACCCCCGTGACACCGTACAACGTAGTAGTGATTACTCCAGAGAGTCCATTTACACATATTTCACGACAATATAATCAATCAGCACTTCCAACTTTCAAATATCTTCACTCAAACCTCACTGGCAGCTATGGCACGAAACACTGTGCAAGCAAGAGAGAAAGCTGGAAAAGTTAAAGTTCCCGCCAATTCCTGAACCTGGTATTACAAAGAGGTAGACACGCAAAATTCTGGACACCTGGCAACTGGGTGGAGTTTTGTTCGGCGAGATTTAGAAGTACTGCAGAAAAGCACCAATATAAAGAGGAAATCAATTTTAGCGACTCAAATAAAACTGCAACCCCAGGAAGCGCATATTTTCACCATCGAAATTTTTCAGTAGTAAAATTTTTAGTGTAATTCATGCCTGACTTGAGGCTTGTTGTAATCCACTCATCAGAAAATTATAAGAATTGTTAACAAGGCTGAGGCAATAAAAATCATTGCCAAGGCGACGACTGAATGATATATTTTTTTTCATGTGGTGGAGCTAGCAATCTACATTACAATTATCAGAAAAACAGATTTCCCTATCTTATAAAGACATGCACGTAGTAAAATTTACAGGCTGGGTGGAGGAGGTGTGGGGCAATATACCCAAATACACGTATAGGAGGAATCAGCCGTTCTTCCCCAGCAATATAGATTTTATGATGACATACTTACTTACTTTACTTTGGTCGAGTTCCCGCTAGAACCAAACTTAAAACCATCCTCCACTTCACTCTATCCTCCACCAGAGACTGGATTTTATGTCTGGTCTGAAGTTGTTACTACTTTGACTTTTTTTACCTTTTGTGGGTTCCAAAAGGACTGATAATTTCTTTTCTCTCTGTGATCTGTTTGAATATGGTCTTTGGCCAAAGACAGCTGTGCTCTCTGTCCATGGTGTGGGGAGAAGATGGATGACCAGTAATTAATCATGCCAGGCAGCTGGATGGGTGGCACGTGGGCACCGGGTGTAAGTTACCTGCTTGATCCAAAAACCACATGGCTGAAGGTTTCCTCAAAACCAATTCCCTGGGGAACGCATTCGTGCAATTTTTGAAATTCTTTCAAAGCGATCGTAGTACTTGCACAAATGCCTCCGCCCCAAAGGCGTCGCCAAAAAGTGGCATCTACAGCCTGTGCCAATAGCACATGGAGAAATTTAGTGGAGTTTGTCATGCCAAAGCCATTCATTGAGGACATCTAGCGATATTGTAGTAAACTGCAGAAGAGGGTCGACTTTGTACTATGGCATGACGGGAGTTGATCCTTTGACGTCACCAAGTAATGGCTGTCAACAAGGTCCAAACACAGAGGAGGTCGCGCCGGAGATAGTCACGGTTTTCTCACATTTCCAAGGATTTCCATGGTTCTGGAAGATAAGCAGGTAAGCTAGTGTTTAAAACATGCTTTTCCCTACCGTATTACCGTAGAATTTACCACGATCAGTCTCATCTTACCAAGAATTCTGTAGATCTTCGCGTTGCAACGCCGCTTTTCGCATACCTTGGCACGAAAAAATCCCCTCGTGTGGGATGGACACTTTCCCTTTATGCCGATCTATACGTTTTCTGTCAACGCTATTCCTCGGCACAATAGCATAGAACAATTTATTTATTAACCAACTATAATATAGCCATCTGTGTAAAGTTACTAGCCGTGGAGTGTATGTGTAGTGAACGTGTGGGGGTTGAACCGGCCATATTTGGTGTCCTTTGCTGTGCGTGCCCTTTTCCCCTGTTGCTATTGATTGAAGCACAAATGTACACAAACGTATCAATCCCACCAGTTGCTATGTGCCCAACTCCCACCAAATAATCACCAAATATTCATTAAATCCACAAACTTCTCCACACCGGAGGCAGTCAGTTGGTCCAGACAGTTGTGTAGTTACGATCACCCGGTGGATTACCTTTTATTTTGGGTGAAATCGAGACGATTTTGGGTGTAAGGGACAGGTAAGATAATCCAGGTGGATATAACAGTCCCGTGGGACCGGCATTACTGATGTGGAACACTGGAAATACATCCAACTGTTTCTAGTAAGTCCAGATCTTAGTACAGGTATTTCTCTCTCATCACAATCTCATGGCAAGGGAGGAAAATGTACATTTCTGTTTTGAACAGGTGTGGCAATGTGTTATGTCATTCTTCACACCTGGTTTTAGCATCACTGCCAAGGTTTGTAAAGCCTCTTTAAGACAAGTGAACCCTCGCTTGTTCTCGTCAGGCTTTGGCGTGACATCGCCTCTCAGATTCCAGGCCCCCTTTCCTATACATGGTTACTGTTCACGGATTGAGTGACCAAAAGTTGATTTGTGTCTCCCTTGATTACATGTAGTTCAAGCTACCCGGGTAGTATTATTTAAAAGACAAGAAATTTGTTCTTCGTGTAAGCAAGAAAGCTTCTTGGTGTAAGACATTTGTCGAGGGATCTGTCAAATTTTTGGTTCCTCGACAACAGTCTCAGCTTCTAGTGGAGAGAGGGTATGAAATGAAGACTAACCTATAGCATAGGTCTTCATTGTGCAGAAAAAAACTTATTTGGAACACTTATAAATGAACAGACTTAAAGAAGACTTTTTTCTGTAGCATTAGTAGTACTCTTATGTGCATGTTATAACAGGTTGATGCAGTCTTCTTTTATACATTGTAGTGGTCACTAGTTTTTGTGAAATGCCTTGCATTTCCAACTTTTAAAAGCTTTAACTAATCTAATGTTGTTGTTTGACCTGTGGCACAATTTTGTTTTGCCTAGAAGCAGCCAGGGCTGAAGTATTTATTGGTACAAATTAGGTTGATTAGCAGAGATTGCCTATCTAATTTCAGTTCACATGCTAATTACGAATAATCCTGTTTAGGCTACAAATAACACACTTCTGCTCATTCCCACAAAACATGAAAGATTGCCATGCTGAAAGAATGTGTGAAAGAAGCTATTGAGGGGAAATTACTGGAATCAAAGGAATAACCACTGCATGGGTTTACAATGTATGGCTTCTTTTCACTCATACTATCATAGCTGTAATGATTCAAAATTATGGTACTCTCTCCCTGACAAGTGTTTCCCTCCCAAATACAACCCAGAAGCCTTCAAAACTAACATTTTACCACCATCTCCTACTAGTCCTAGCATGGTTACCCATGGCTCCTACCAACTTAGTTAAGTACTCAGTCAGAAGTGTTCTTTAGGCTATGAGGCTGAGCCAACTCATCAAAACTCAAGAACTGTTTGGATTGAAAAACCTAGCTCAGTAGTAGCTGTCAGGTTGAATAGATTTCAGTGTGGATTCATTAAGCTCATGATTTGTAGCATTTCTTATTACTTAGTTTTACTCAAGTAGTACAGTATTTATTCCTGTCAAATGCTGTCTGAAATGTTTGTACAAATTACATTATTAACTGTCGCGTGGATGCTTTTTCATGACTTTATAACAGAGCAATGAATGTGTGCTATTGATTCTGTAGACACAGCTGTTACTATCATGCAGCTGTTGCCTTGTACCTTAATAACTATCACAAACACGAGCTCTCCCCGGTGTTAATTAACCTTCAGAAATATGTGTCCCAGCACATTCCTCACAGCCTGGGTACAATGTCATGTACATGCATTTGTTTGGGTCGTGAAACATTTTAATGCAAAGGTTTGGGGTACAGAAGCCAACCTCAAGTGCAATGTCGATTGACTTTGTGACATTGTATTGAAATGTCGCCATTCGGTATCCAAGAAACTCAAACAAGCAGATAAACATGTGGATTTGGTGAACAAATCTTTAGGAAACACATTTCAGACAGTTTGGCACCTGATTGTTCCAAGTCACCGATATGGGAAATCCGTAAGTTGAACTTGGTGGTAACAAACCTTCTGTAGGCCTCCTAGCAACCATTATTTAGTCAATAATGGTAATACAAGAAGTACATGTATGCCAAATGGTTGTTATTATTGGGATAACTTCACAAATGCCTGTGTCACAGTCAATCTCCAATTGTTAAA